AGTTCAAATGGTCTATATGGATATTTTTCTTGAAATATATGATATTCGAAATTTTTTTGCGATTACAATACTTCCTTTATTTCGTACAAGGAAGTAAAAAAAAAAAAAAAAAAAAAGGAATACATAAGAACTAGAGTGATAAATGGACTACTACATCTTTACATTACGTAGCAGTTTTTGATTCACAAAACACGTGCTTGAGGCAGCCGTTCATTGTTGTACCTGCTCGCATCGGCAAACCATATCCTTTATAACAGTTATTTACCAGAAGGTTTGTCTTCCCAGGTTCTAGGTTCTCCCCCATAGTAGAAAATGTTGAGAAGCTTTCATTCTGGATATGAAATTGAGACTCACATCTTTCTATTTCTCTCGCATCAGTGTCCAGGCATCCTATATCCAGGCATCCTATGACCAAAGAGAAGTTGCAGTTGTTACGTTCAGAAACTCAAATCTAGCTGGTTTTGCAAAGATGACATAGAGACACAAGCAGCTGGTTCTTTCGCGTACAGATCCCTTTTGTAAAGCGAATGAGATACTATCTGATGAGATTTCTCTTACATTTAAACATTTAGAAAGTAGACATGCCAAGAGCTGATTATTGCTGTATCACAATGCCTTATACTTCGACACAGCGATCATCGGCTGCGGATTGAATTCTTGAACGTCCCGTACTTTCTAGAAGTCAATATGTTTTCTTTGGATAGCGATTACAAAGTCTGTGCAAAACTTTGCGATGTGTACGATATTATCTTGTCACATCGGCTTGTTTTTCGATGGTATTCCTACAGCCCTACTTCGCGTTTTAAACAGTTCCTTCTAATCACAGTTCACAAAATGGTATGCTACGCTGCCAAAGATTTAATTGCAAGCCAGAATGAGTTACTTTTTAAATATTCCTCTTTCCTTTTTATATTATTTTTAAATATTCCTCTTAATATAAATTTAGCTGCAGACAATTATTTACGTATATTTCTTTACGTGTTTGTGAAGCAACGTCACATTTTGTAAGACATATGTAAATTTTAGGTTCCGATTCAAAGTACTAAACAGGATATCGCGAAATCTTACTTCCTTGTTGCTAACTGTTTTGAGCAGCAGTTTTCATTGCATGAAAATTTTATTTATTTACTTTATATTTTATTTGTCAAATGCCAGTTACATTGGCCGTTAGGCCATTAAACTGCTTGCTTGCCAATAGCGCTGAAATTCACACTCATCCAAATATTCCGCCGTCATTGGCCGTCCACTATTACATAAAACACAACAGCCAATCAGCTAGTCCAATGCGAAATAAATGATGCTGTAGACAGTCATGTCCCGTCAATAGTCTAAAAGATGCAACCGCAACTGTTCGCGGGTAGTCAGGAACAAAAGCTGGGTTTGATGAAATAAACACTCCAAGGCTTACCCTAACAAGCCCGAGTGGCGAAATCTCTAAAAGTCTTTTGATATGTTAGCGATGTTAGAAGCTTAATAGAATGGAGGCTTGCACTCGTTTTTGGCTTTTGGAGAACCGTAGCCCCCCTTTTTCCCAAGCATATAAGCCGTCTCGTTCCCATAAATACCGCAGTGTGAAGGTACCCATTGAAAAGATATCTTGTGGGAAAGTTCTTTTATCACTTCCTCACACTGTTGAACCGCATATGTTCTTACACTCTTGGTAAGAGGTGATGGCCTATATTGCTGAAGTCGAATCAGACAGTACAACAGCCCTCCTGAACGAGCTTTGTCTCAATGATAATTGTTGGACAGCCTTATTGAATGAAAATACGAAAGCGTATAGAAATCAGGACTAAGAAACAGAAAGCATAAAAAGGGACAGGGGCGGGAAACACAGCAGAAGAGGCTTATAAACTTCCCTATGTTCTATTTTAACTTCATGGTCTCCCTTCCCAAAAGATCTTACAGACATAGACCATATAAAAAGACAGATACAAGTGGGATGAGAAGACGATTCAAAGGAGAAATAGCGCTGGATGTAAATGCATATTAAGAAAAAAAGAGACTGCTAGACTAGAGAGAACTACACGGGAAAGGGAGAAGAGAAAAAAAAAGTGTGGACGAGACATAAAAGGGATATACAGAATTTCGAAAACAGGGAACATAATGGAACAAAGAATCAGAGTATCTGAAACACAGAGAGGTAAAAAACAAAGTTTTCCAACTGACGGAGTTTTTAGAGCAGAAGCAATAGATTCCAGCGATCCAGTCAGCACAAATTTTTAGCAATCGGTGTGCAAAAATGGATTTTTAGCAATCGGTGTGCAAAAATGGATTTTTAGCAATCGGTGTGCAAAAATGGATTTTTAGCAATCGGTGTGCAAAAATGGATTTTTAGCAATCGGTGTGCAAAAATGGATGGTACATTGGAAACTGGGAGAAAATGTCTGAAAATAAAAGAAAAAAACTTAGCTAGATCTGAAGCAGTGGATAGAAAACTGACCGTTTTAAACTTTTAAACAAGATAAACCGCAGTCCGCAAAATACAAAGTCGACATATTTTTTTGTCCGAAATGCCAAAAAATTATGATAAGAAGACTTTAGTCGTTATCAATTCATGTTAAAAATAAGATCAATCGCAATTTTTGGTTTTATTCAATTTCGCCTACATGCAAATAACGAATTTTTCATTAAAGCAAAACATTTTAATTTGCAGCAAATTCACGATAATTTTAAGTTAATTATGGGAGCATTTTCTTGCCTTGAAGGGAAAATGAATCAGATTATCATTTAAGGCAGAATTCTTCCTTAATGTTCGATATCTCTTGACAGTGTCTTTTAAATGTTTAAACAAATCGGATTTAATTGTACGCGATATGAAATTGTCATATTTTAGGTCGGAGACACTATGAAAGTTATAAACCATTTTTTTTTTTTTTTCTGTGAAAATTCATTGTGACTTTTAAACATTAATATTGGCATTTTTTCGCATCATTTGAATCTTTCAAATCCTAAAATCCTAACTGAAAATTCATTAAACGTTTTAAAGGAAAACTTAAAGAAAATTACTGATGCTCAGTGGAAGCATTCATTAAAAAATAAGAAAGCGGCTGTTACACATTCATTTGTTCTGGATCCCCAATATCGTGGGAACTTGGAACACCTCGTTCATTAATTTTCTGGAGAGAATGCTGCAATCCGTGTTTAGCGTACGTTAACTCTTGCAATAACCTTCCACCCTTTACTTTTGCTTTAAAAAAAATTTTAAATGTTATTCTAATGTACATTGTTAAATGCCCTCACGGGAAAGTGGTTAGTGATTCTGACTGTTGTACAAAAGGGCGCAGGTTCGAATTCTGTAGAAGGCATAGATGTAAATCGTCTGTCCCTTCATAGGACGCAACGGTGAGCCATCTGTTAGCAGCCTCCATAATAAAATGACCACCGCTAAGTCGTAAATACATCCTTCGAGAAGGCCAGGGTTAGCAGCCAACGCCAATAATGGCTAGTGCCCGCTGCTGGGGGGGGGAGAAAAACGGGGTGTTTTTTAACGTTTTGGTGTGTTACCTTTATTTATTAAGTATCACGTTCTTCGAACTTAAACCATAAAATTCAATCCAACAGCAATATTGCAAAATAAAATAGAAAAGAACATATCTTAAGAATTTCCTATACACAGTCTCGCGCGCTGGAGATGAAAATGTTTTTCTTTTTTCCGTACAGTGTTGCTATAGCTCGCTTTGAAATGGTTGAGTTTGTTAATCAAAAATTCGTTAAAGTGTTACAAAATATGAAATCAATCATAAAACAAATTTCAAATTCCGTTTCCAACGCCGTTTATACTGAATCAAAGCAAAATGCCAAAACGAAATTAATAGCCCTTCTTTACAAATTGCCCCTTTTAGGCTAAAAAGCAAGGAAAGAAAGAAAAAGGACCAGAAAAATTTGAAAGGGCTCAGATTTTAACAGTCGCTCAAAAGGATTTTAGCGCTCAAAAGAAGTTCACTCTGATTTTAATGGTCGTTGTTAAGGTTTTTCTACAGTCCGTTGTTGCACTGACTCCTGCTAACACATTTCTTTGTCTTTTTAGCTTTATTATTTTCTTCGAACTTACGCCATATACATTTAAACAACAAAATTACAAAAATTTTAAAAGCAGCGTGTGTTTAGAATTTCCGATGAAGTGTTAAGTGTTCTCATGTATTTATCTATTTTTTTTTTTTTTTTTTTTTTCAGTCTTTTCCCTGTTTATGATATCAATGTACAGTATTTTTAGTAAAATAGCTTGCAAAAAAAATTGTTTTTATCTTTTTATTTTTAACGTTTTGTGCCAAATTTATTAATTAAATATCATGTTCTTCGCACTTACGCCACCTAAAATTTAGTTGAACAGTAAACTCACAAACTATTTAAAAACAGCACATCTTAAGAATTTCCGATAGACAGCTTCGCGCGCTGGAGATAATAATGTTTTAATCCGTACAGTGCTCCCACTGCTCGCTTTCAGATCGTTTAGTTTGTTAAAACTTCATCTAAGTTTTCCGAAATATGAAATACAAAATTCGAAATTGAAAATTTGGACTTTCAGGTGCGCATGTTCGGGAGGACGACTACATTATTTAAAATCTGATGGAACTAGGTACGGTCGTTTTTTCACAGCGCGAAAAACATACATGCAGATTCTTCATTATTTAATTTCTTTAAGAGTTAATACACGACGATAATATTTCGTGGCAACAATCTGAAAAGTGATTCAGACCTTTAAAGTAATGCACGCCAAATCCCGTTTCGAGACTAATAAATTTTTAGCCCTTTTGGCCTAAAAAACGTTTCTTCAAATTTTATGGAGGAAATCAACCTCAAGATTTTAAAATGTTAATTATATACTTCTTTTGCTAATTTAGTTCCGTTATTATCTTCTTAATAAATATAAGTTATACTTTTTTAAAAACTACATTTTCAAATTTTATTTTAATGAAAAGTGTTTAATATTAAGTAAAAGCCTTTACCTTTAAAAATTAAAAGCCTTTTCTTATCGTTCTTTTTTCTTCTTATTATAGGAAAGATTCGAAAGAATGGAGGAAGAAATGAAAGATTCGAAAGAATGGAATGGTCTTTGAGCAGAAGTTAGAGTAATATCTGTTCAAAGACAGGCTGCGAGGGGGGAGGCGAGAGAACTTTTACAAAAGGCATCTTCAAGAAGAAATATTTTTAAGAAACACTGGCATATGCGCCTAAATCATGTATTAAATCGAAGCCATTGTGTCACAGGATATTGCCGAAAAAATTTCCATCAGATCTTCGACTTCTGTTCTGATAAACTGTGATTTGTCCACTTAGCCCCATTTTTCTGGGACACTCTCGAGAGCAAGAATTACGAGCATTAACTCTCACAGCCAGCCCAACACGGATCCTTTCATCCTACACGAAAATCACATTAAGAGAGCTTTGTGAAATGCCTCTTAGATCAACCCCGCCATTCATCAAATGCCACCTCAGCCGTGGAGCTTCCAAAAATATTTTGATTTTCGAAGCCAGCTCGAAAAATAATCGAGGCAGAAAGCCAAGTTCCATCCTTTTCCCCGCCGCTCATTTTTCTTTCCAACTCAGCGTCTCGTGAATGGGACAAGATATACGTAACAACTCCACCCGCATCAGTTATCCTTGTCAAAAGAATCTGTCGTTGTGACACTTTCACGTGACACTGTCACTCGGCGCTAACTTGAAGTAGCGCCAACATGTGAGCAACTTGTCAGACGTGTTTGCCTTCCTTCCCATTCACGAATTCGTTCAGAAACTTGCGTTCTTTTTACTCGAGAACATGCTAATGTTTGTTACAGTACCTAGCTTTTAAATCCATCATTCTATAGGACTCCCAAGTGCTCTATACCAGCGTTCGTCAACCCTTAGAACTTCACGGACCACTACACATATAATTTTATATTTGGCGGACAACTAACATAAATTTTAAAAAAAGGTAAATACATTTATACAATTATAATCGGCAAACTACACGCACTTCGGTCACATTGAAAAATTACATGAAAAGTACAAAAATCTTACCTTCTTGTACAGAAAGCTTCACATTTCCATATCACTGAAAGGAACTTCACGAAAAGCAAGAACAAATTGGCAAACGCAAAGCGATATCAGGAAACTGATAGTGTTATGCCGCCAATTTTTAATTATTGTAAACATAATAATCACCGCTTACTCAGCAATGACGTCATCGATCAATAGTTAGACAAAACAAAAACGCGGAACAAGGATGCGGATGAACCATCTTGTTTATAATTCCATCAAGTTCCATCCATAATAATCCATCAAGTTGCCTATTGACACGGAGAAAAACTGTGTTATTAAAAACTACAATAGCATATGTTTGTAATTCAAAAGGAAAGAGAATTACAGTTCGCGCTAATATTGAATCCATGGATGCCAATTCTCACTTTCAAATGTCGCTAGATATACCTACAAAAGTAGCTAAAAAATCACTAAATTCAGAAGGAATTTCGCTAAAAGTAGAAGCTAAAATTTAAAAAAAAGTATAATCCATATTTCATAATAGGTTTTGCTATTCGTCATTTTTTAAGCTGAATCTTCATAAAAATATAAATAATGTTCCAATTTTTCTGCGAACCAGCAAAAAGTTATCACGGACCACCCACCGGTTTGCGACCGCTGCTCTAGATATTGGAAGAAGGAGGAAATCTTCCACTACGCTGTAGGATCGTGTTTTCTTTGGTAACATAAACTCTACTAGATCCTACAAAGAACTTGGTGACTTCTCACACAGGCGTAAATGATACCGGCACAAAAGAAGAGTAAAAATAAAACTCTGAACAGAAATGGCACGTACTACGTGCTTACAATAACACCGACAGCTTGTGTTGGAACCTAAGAATCGTTACACAATAAATTTAACGTTTTTCAACTAACACCAAGCTAAGGCTAACTAGGTTGACTCGACAACCTACCCGGCGTGATACTTATTTAAATGGCCAAAAAGGCGTATCAGCAACTCCGCGTAGCAGCAAGGACAGACTCGTAACGTGCGCTGGCTAGTGAAAACACGCTCTGACTTCACCCGCGTAAATATTCACTTCACTTAACTCTAAATTTGCATCCTGGCGAGGAAATGCGAGGGGAAGTTCAGGAGTTCAGAAAAGATTTAAAAAAATTTTAATAATTGGTTAATTGAATTAAGGCAAACCGTACGGTAAAGTAGACAATAAAAATTGCATTGAATACAGTGAAACTACCTTGAGACGATCCACGTTTCAGATGATTTTAGGAACGCTTCAGAGGTGGTCACTTCAGAGAGCATAATAATCAGTAATGTTCAATACGGTTACTTAATTATATAGGTATATCCAAATGAATCCACTGCAAGAGTATTGGTAAAGCTCCTTTAACTCAGACTGACTTTTTTAATTGCACAGATACGTTGCAGTTTTGCAATTGTTGAAAGAAATGGCGGTACTCTTCTTGCAGAGATTTTCTTGATGTGAAGATGTTCATGTAGAATACGCAAAACTGTTGTTTTAGATAGAATTAAATCCAATCTTGCTGCTGTCTCTTTGGCTTTCAATCTCCTGTTACTCAGTATTTCCTACGGGGCAAGAGCAATATTTGTCGATGCCAATATCTTCAGTGGTCGACCTTAACGAGACTCATCCACGGATTGCCAGCCGATACAAAATTGGTTTACTCATCGTTTCCCTGCACAATATAGGACGGAGATAAATCATACTCCAAACTTCTTTTTTATTTCTTTGAGATTAAGGCCGTCGTTAGTCAAAAACTTAATCATTAAACGAAACTCAGCTTTAAACATTCCAGAATTAACTAGCATTGCACTACATTCAGTAGACAGTAAAAAAAAAAAAAAAAAAAAAAAAAAAAAACTGTTTCTCTAACAAAACGTTCAAATTTATTTATTTAGTATATCCACTACATGCCTGTAAGAGGAATTTGTGGTCAAATAATTTTTTATATCTGATGCCTGAAACGTTTCGGATCTGTCTATGTATATGTTGAAAATGTATCTGATATATCTGAACCTATGAACGTCATAGTATCAACTTAGATTCTCGTAATTTACTTACATTAGCTTATGACGGAGTAAAATCATTTAAAATAAGGCCCGTTCTATTGTTAAGCTTTGAACGTCTTATATAATTTACGGAATATTTTACGAAAAGGAAAGTGAAAAACAAAGCAAAAAAAAAAAAAAAGCATAGTGGAAACGGCGAACACCAACGCCTTTGCTTCACGAATAATTAGCCTCGGGAACAATTTATCGAAACAAAAATCGTCTCGGATTACGAGAACACTCCAATGAACAATGTGTCATTTTCTAACGCACTTTGCCACATAATTATACTTGGAAACTTCTGAAAACATCCTTTTAATATTTATCATTGCTTAACTCTCATTAACAAAGCACAGCAACGAGTTGTAACGTCCCTCGCTATTTTGTCTATGCTAAAATGTTGAGGAACCTAGTGAACTAAGTAGCGACTTATCGCTGAATTCAAGTACTTACAACGTAGACTCGAGAAGGGTTAAAATACCCTTTTATTCACTCAGAGAAATAACTACAGTTGGCCCCTTTTCGAGCTTACAAGAAAGCCTCCACTCGGGTTTTTAAATCAGGGTACGAAAATAAGAACTAATCTAATATTAACTAAAATAGACTTAGCCGAAACTAGACACAAATATCTAACGCGGTTGGCCCTTCATTTAAACTAGGCGGCGAATATCAACAGGCACGTACAATTCGGCCGAGCGTATATGCCAGGTGGCAGAATATGTGTATCATGTACATGCCAGGAGGCATAACGCTTGTAAACATGCCAGGTGGCATACGGCTTGTAAATAAATTTTAAATAAATGTACAGTAAAATATCTTGGTGCAATAGATCAAGGAACACGCATCAACAACCTTCTAATCATTTGGATACGTACAGTTAGCTTTATGCTGATTTTTTTATGACTCATTTTGTCACATACTTGCTCAGTCTAGAGGTTTAGTAAATAGCAGGTAGATTTTTTTTGTCAAGATTCATAACAAAAGACTGGGGTGATAAGTTGTTTTCTCTTATTTTAAGTCTCACTAGATGCAAAAGAATAAGTTTTACATGAATTTTTACATTTTGGTGTTTTATCTTGTGACCACAGTAAGGATTAATGAAAGACAATAATTGGCTTTAATATGCAGATGTAATTTTTAAGGGTAAGCAGTTAGTTATAAATAATTAAATTAAGTAGTTAGATAACCTTAGTCATTATGGATTTACATGGTCACTATTAAATTTTATTTTTTTTAACAATATTTGTTAAAAAAAGCCCTATTAAAATCACAATCTAATAAAATTTCACAGTTTAAAATGCATGTAATTTATGACATTAATTCTTAAACGATATTAGGATTATTATATTACACATTAAAAGCTACAAAACATTTATGTTTTGTAACAACAACATTCAGCAAAATATTTATGCGTCTTTTTAATTTGAAGCCTTCCCAGGAATTTTGACTTTCTCTTTAAACATCTTTTCTAACACTCAGAAATTCGTCTCAATACGCAAACCAACGCTCTCGCTAGTTTCTGCGTGCATTATCTCCTAACTTATCAACCTCTCTCCAATATATTTACTTGATCTGGTAAAAGTTAAATAGTCACTCCTCTCCCCCCGACAGACGTGAAGCAAATTATCGCTATGTCCGAAAGTAACTACAATGTCAGACATAGGTTTAAATAAGCCTCTTTTATTTAAAAACAACTTAAAATATACAATCATGTTCTGATGGTTACCAAATCAGTTACAGCTCATGGTGATGTAATTAAACAAGAACAGTCAAATTCAAACTAAAAATGTGGACTAGTCACCAAAGACTATACAAGTTTCTTTTAATTTAAGCTGGCTCAGTAACTCTATCATATGAGGAAATAGAAATGGGAAATTATAGTAAAAGCTGATATCATAAACAACTGGGTAATTTACATAATAATAACTATACATATTAATTTAGAATTCAAACAATAAAAATCAGTGTTATATTTGTAAATTTTCACAGGACTAGTTGAACATGTAAGTAAACATGGTTTTACCGAACCATCGAAACTAGTCCTGCGAAAATTTACAAAATAACGCTGATTTTTGTTGTTTGAATTCTAAATTAATACTTGTTCGGCGTGTTAATTTGTTCTAACTGTACATATCTTTGAAGAATGATTTTCTTTATGTATTCAATTTCTTTTTTCAACATGTTTCATTTTAAAATTTTCGGATTTAATTAAGGATTTCTGTTATTCTAAAAATACTAAAAATACAGAGCTGGTGTGGCAGAATTTTTAGAATTTAGTGACACATTGAGCAACAAAAATCTAGAAATGGCAAAACTTTTAGAATTTAGAGCTGGCATTGGAAGCAGAATTTAGGATCCACAGAGACTGCATCAGGTGGGAAAATGCCGAGCGCCAACTCTGTGTATGATGCATAAAGAAATATTAGATGAATCTTTTAAATTTAAATTTTGAATTTCTTTATTAATAAAAAAAATTCCTTTTATAACGCCTGTCCATGTCATAAAATTAGAAGAATTTTTTATATTTTCCATGCTTGTGTCTAGCGAAGAGTACAGAAAATAAAGTAAAGATAAACATATTAAGAAAAAGATTCTAGTATCAGAAGAAAAACATTCAAGTATTATGTTTTCATTGTTCTTCCAGACGTTCCCCAAAAAGTAAGAAATTCATCGCAAACTTTCTGTAAAATACATCCATTAGGTGTAATACCATGGAGACATTTTTCATTTTGTCACATATTTCTGGAATCTTCTAGAGGTGTCTTCCTGTTTGCGCGAAATCATCAATCTTCATTACCCCCTTCCAAAGGGGTTCCATAATGGGGGGCCGACTGGGCGTTGGCCTCTTCCGAAATGTAGGAAAGCAAAAATTTTTTAGATTTAAAAAAAGAATTTTTAAAAGAAATAATCGAAAGATATTTACGAAGTCTGAGTCTTTGTATATCTTTGCATAAATGAAGTACTGTATTTAAAGGGAAGAGATGTTCAAATTCTGCGATGATTTTGGCAATGAACTAAAAGATCGTTTCCTAAAGTAAAAACAGTATTCTTCCGAAATTCTGCATAAAGGTGAATTATAATAAAATCTCAGAATATATATTCGTTGCCAAAAGAAAGGCAGATGAGAAGAAAATATACCTCGAATATCAAGGCAGCTTCTGAGAAAGCTTTGTCCTAGCCAAAAGAAGCTTTTTTTTCCTAGCTGTAAATTGTCAAAGTCATAATTCAGAAATATAGCATCTGAATCTCGATTGAATGGACTTCTTGCATTCATCGGAATATCCAAATACATTAATAGAAACCATTGATAAATTTATGAATTGTCAAAGGTAAATTTGTTAGTTTCAAAGATTTAATTCAGAAATTCCAGAAGCATAGCGCACGATTCAGCAGTGATTGTACATATTTATCATACTAATTTAAAATAATTAAGTGTATATACTTGTTAGTAATTATTAACAGTAAATATAAATAGTTAAAGAGTATATTTTAAATCATTTATTTTATATACACATCTGTATTTGTATATAATGAAATTGCTAATTATTATCAACTTATTTGATATTATTTCATTTTAAAATGCTCTTTTTCTAAATCTCCTATTCATCTAGCTTCTTTTTTAAGAGAAACTGTACTTTGTGAGTCACTTTCAATTCCAACTGTAAATGCGATTCGCAATTTAATTTATTCGTATGTGGCAATATTAAAAACTTCGGAAACACTGGTTCAACAGTTGTAACTGAAGAGTAAGTACAATCAGCTTCTTTAAGGCAAATATCAAACGACTTTAGTTTACTCTGACGATGGATATTTAAAAAGTGGAGAATTCAGTATTCGTCGAATATTGCGATATTCTGATAATCCCTTAAAATTCGTGCTTTCGAAATCTCTGATAATCCCTTAAAATGCATGCTACGATTAGAAAATTTAATAAATTTGATTACAGTGTGACGTTATTAGGTTTAATCAATGCAGCAAACGTGAAAAATATGCAGTGCCCTCCCCGAGTCTCGAACCCTGGACCTCTCGAATACACGCCCGAGTATATGCTTCCAATTAATCACGAAGGCATGCGGAAAGGAGGCAGAAAAATACCTTATAACTAAAATTATCAATTTAATAACAGAGAAAATTCAACTTTCCTTCACACTTTTCCAGGCTTAGGACTGGCAGTAAAAATACTGGCGTGTTTAAAAGTTGTGTGATGTTAGTCACTTTCCTTTTTTTTTTAAAAAAAAATTATTAGTTATTTTTAGAGAAAATTTTCATATGTTTTAATCGAATTTTTGTAGATAAGAAAGAGATAATAAGCACTTTCTTATATTTGTGATGAGTAAAATTCTTGCATAATACGTTGGATTCTTTCCTCTTTTTTGACCACACTTGTTTTCCTTCTTTTCCCTTCTAAATTTACATAACGACGATCTATAAAATAATCACTTTCTTTAGCTTCGTTTTCAAAAATTTTTATCAGTTCTAGAGTTTTAGGATGGATTTTCCTAATAACAGAATTTAATTTATGATGCCATCCTCCAACAATATTATTTGTCCTGTGCAATTTTTCATTGCAATTCCACATCTGTATAGTTACGACGTCATTTTCAAGCCACTGCTCAACAAAGTAATCATAAAATGCCTCTAATCTTGCATTACGAGGTGAACTTTCTTGTATGCACAGCCAACCATCATCGACACATTCCGCGGGTATGTATGCAAGGGACGCGTACATTCTGAGATGGGTTCTAATTTCTTCATTATGCCTATATTCGTTAACAAGTCCCAAATCTTGAATCTTTCTCCACAGACACTGATTTAAGTGG